AGGCAAAAGTTCTCCCTTAAAAGCTGGATAATGGATGAAGTTCATTTTAGGAGTGAAACTAGATCCAAGAAAAGGTGAGGAAGCTTTTAGTATCTTTGTTAAAAACAACCGGAATAAAAAAAAAATTTAAAGTTAATGAAATTGAATTTTTGCATTGCATTTTTCATTCCTATAATAATCTATTAAGCACACTCTTACATTTATTGTTTGGCCGTATGAATAAAAAAGACAAGTCTCCATTAAATATCCACATGCAGCTCTAAAGATATTCTCTCCTTCAGACTTGGATCTTAAATTTGATTCTTTATTGATAAACTATACAAGCGTTAACTGGTGGGAACTCATTCCCTGCTTCAAAAGGAGCACATCCACATAGAAAGCTTTTTGGTAGATGTCCCTGAGGTGAAGCTTTCAAGGTCTTTCCATTCTGACAGGCCGAGCTGTTATTAAAGCCTCTGCTGTGTTTAATACTGGCTGTTTACTCACGTCAATGAGCTGCTTGACTTCTGGTTTCCGTAGATCACTGCTGATCTTTGCAGCCAGCAGCACGCATGCAGCTGCCACAAGCTTCCTGTTCTGCTTGTTGAGGCGGCCTTGCAGCACTAGTTTCTCAAAGTAAACAAAGGCCATTGCTATGGTGACCGGCTGCAGGCCGCAATCTTCACTCACGGCCCTCATCTCCCTCTTCAGGCTAGCGGAGAGGAGAAGTCAGTTACTCGTTTGTTCCCAGTGACAGAGTGAGTAGTCTGGATCTGAACCATTTTAACTCACTCCAGTAGGACAAATCTTAATCACAGAAGATGCTCACCTTCTGATCTTGCTCAGTGTCAGCTTAATGTGAGGAAACTTCTCCTTGAACGTCTCGTTCATGTCCTTCTTCAGGTCGGATGGTTTCACGTACTCTATAACGGTCGTCTGCAGAGATGGAAAACAAAGCAGCCGCTTAATCCTTCAGAAATCAGCTCAGATCAGACCATTTAATGGAACTTTCCTTCTCTCTAACAAACACAGACACACCCACACAAAGGGCCAGAGGTCACTGCCATGTGACACAATGAGGACATGGTATCACATGAACACTGTATAATGGGAGGCTTTCTCTCTCCAACACGACCGGAGGTTGTAAAGGCTTGGAGGACTGACAGAACAATTTACAAGTCAAATGAAACTGTCCAGATTTCTGGTGTGAAGAACTGTGAGACCAGATGGTCAAGAGAAAAACCAGGATATGACCATCTGTGAAAGTCTGGACAGTTTAAATAAAAAGGTCAGCTCACTCTGTATTGTATCCCAAAGGGGATGGGTTAAATTCAGAGTTCATTTCTCCATTTTGAGATCAATAAAGTTCATGTAAAAGTAAAACAGGTGAAATTGAGGAAATCTGTAAAACACAATATAAAATAAATAATAAATTGAAGTGAAAAAAAAAACAGCTTTAGCAGCTAGAAACCAGTCCATCATCTGGCAGTGGATTTACTTCTGCCCACTCTTAGTAAATTGCATTAATTAAGCCACATTTGAGGCATTTTGCGATAAAGGGCCTCACTGTATATTTAAAACCGTAGATTAGTGAAAACCCAAACTGTTTTTTCAGCATCAGGATCTTCTGATAAACCTCATTCCCCCTTAAAGGAATAGTACACCCAAAACATGATTAGCCTTCATTTTCTACTCACCCCCATGCTGAACAACACTCTGGAGTACTTTTTTGATA